ATAGTCTCTTACAAAGAGAGAGCTGAATTTATGTATCTGTGAATAAGTTTCTATATGTAGAACTTATTAAAAGGCATCATAACTCTTCTCTAGCAAGTTATTTTACAGATACTAGAACTTATAAGTTACTTATAAGAAAATACTTCTGATCAAAGATACAAGAACTTGTAAAGAAGATAGTAAATTCTTATACTATTTATCAGAATTCATAGATAGTGTGATTCAGATTATATAAAGAACTTACTCCTCTACTCATTCTGTGAGAACCTTGAGAATAGCTAGGAATGAATACTCTTATAAGTCTCTCTGAAAGCAAGGACATATATGATGCCTGCTTTGACAGTGTGCTGATGATAGTGAATTACTTTATCAAGATAACACACTTTATACTCATCTGCAAGAACTTGAAGTCAAAGAATTTAGCTCATATCTTCATCTGTGATGTAATTCAATTGCATGAGTTATCTGCAAATATTATCTCAGACAGAGAATCAATCTTCATAGAAGAGTTCTGATCTGATCTGATGACTATATTGAAGATTTTATAAGATTTAAGCACAGCTTTTTATCAACAGACAGATGATCAGATAGAACATCTGATAAGTATATTAAAACAGTATCTGTGATACTTTATCAATTACAATCAGAATAACTGAGTGTATTGATTATTACTCACAGAGTTTATATATAACAACTTAAAATATATCAGCACAGATAAAACTCTCTTTGAGATACTCACTGAGACTCATCTGCAGATGATCTTGATAAACTCATGAGAGTACACTATAGAGTGTGATAATACTTATGAACAGACTGAGAGAATTCAGAATATCTGAGAGAAAGCTCATAAATTCTTGAGAAAGATCTAAGAGTATTAGAAAAGATACTATGACTTCAAGCATATTGTAAAGAGTTTTAAGAAAGATGATAGAGTTTAACTAAGTCTAGAAAACATCATCATGTGAAGATCTAGTAAGAAGCTGAATCCCTTACAGACAGAGTCTTATAAGATTGTGAAGAAAGTTAGCTCACAGTTCTACAGATTGAAACTATTATCTGAGTTATAGATATATAATATTTTTCATATCTCTTTACTCTATGAATATAAGGAATTCTCAGAAGAGAATTCTGTAACTCATCACTCTATTCACAAAGTACTAGAGAGTGAAAGAGAATATCAGATTAAAGAAATTATTAACTCAGAGAAGTGAGATCATGAGCTCTGATTCAAGGTTCAGTGATAAGAGTATTCTGACAAGATGAATAAGTTCACTTGAAAATTATTCAGACAGATAAGATATCTGCAGAAGCTGAGACATGACTTTCATACTGTGAATTCTGATAAGTCAAAATAACACAGTCTTCACTAAGAATCTGATTATAACAAAGACATTAACACTGTCATTTACAAACTCTAGTCTATAAGATAATGAGTTTCTACTGAGATGAACAGTCTGCAGTGTATATAAGAAAAGAAGAAATCATATTCTTATTAAACTAAAAAACAAGAAAATAAACAGAGCTGTGAACACAATTTGAAGATCAATAAAGAAAAAATAAAGAAAACTCAAACTCACATTCTCAACACTTACAACACTTAATTCTCTTATAACTACTAATTTCTCTCTTCAAAGAAGCAGAGAGTATCATGTCTATAATACAGATAATTATTATATTTGATACAAAGACTGTCAGAAATGCACAGACTTCAGAGAAGCTGAACATCAGAGTATATACAGTTACAGCAGAGTCTTGAAGACTGATCATCTGCATATATAATCAGATATCTCTTATGAAGCTGTGTCTGCTCTCTCAGTTGTGCTGAAGTATTCAGTCTGAAAATAATTAAGATACAGAGAGAAGGCTCATCTATTCAGATCAACTCTTATTATAAATTTATAGTATTCACATTGCCTTGATTACCTGGATTTTACAGATACTCAGAGACTCATCTCTCATTGACAATGAAATTGTGAAAATGCGCTGCAGTGTGAGAATCATTGATAGAGAATCTAGATATATTCACATATATCTGATCAGTGATTGTGTAAGCAGAAAGAGAATGATTATAGGTCTGCAGAGTCACAGAAGACACTGACAACACAGAGAGCTTTGTAAGAACTGTCAGCTAGAGTCTGTAAGAAATTACTTATAAGAAGACTTACAGTAAAGAGAGAGACTGTGCTGCTTGAAGCCAGAGACTGGTCTGAGAAAGACAGAGAGTTGGCTGCTGGCTTGAAGATCAGGTGCAGTGACAGAGCTGAGAGAAGTGAAGACATGATTGTGAACAGCAGCATCTCTGCTTCATCAGCCAGTAAAAAGTGATCAGAGAAGTTATAGAGATGCTCATAAGAAGCTCAGCAGCAGTCAGATATTGTTATGAAGATATTGAAATTGAAAAATTTTTATTCTTGAGAAGTTCTTGAATCAATATACAGATATTATCAGAAATACTCTCTCTCTGTCATCTGAGTGAAAACACTTTGCAGATGAATGAGAATACTCACAGTTTATAAGAATGAAAGCTGTTACAGAAAAAGAGAAAAGAAGATAAGATTTCACAGACAGATCTGAGATATTTATACTACTCTAGAGAGATTTACTTACACTATGAGTGATCTCACAGAACAGTCAGATCATTCTAATAAATAAGAGTGATTATGAATCACAGATCTGAATCTTTCTATATAACTATAAAGAGTGATTGCAGACTGCAGATATCATGATTCTACAATTCTACAGAGTTAATAAAAGAATGAAAAATTCCTCACAATTCTACAGTGTCAAAGAACAATGATTTATAAGAATGAGTGAAAGATCAACTCATGAATATTTCTCTTTGATGAGAGTGATCTCACAGAGAGTGATTCATCTGTAAGATGAATCTATGTAATAATCACATAAGAATCTTATGAAAATGATTGAGAGTTAACTGAAACTCTTCTGTATGAAAGATGCAAGATGAATCTGCATGATAGTCAGAGAAGAATCTGTAGATTACAAAGAATCTCACAGAATAAGAAACTGAGTGACAGACTCTTTTCTCTTCATAGTAACAAGGGATTTTTCCTCACTGAGGTTTTTTATAGATATGAAGAGTTTTTAGTGAGTATCACTGCAGTGCTGAGCTGACTATGAAGTCACTCAGTGAAAGACTTCATAGACAAAGTCTTAGAGAGAGAGGAATATGTAAGAAATCTCACTTCTCACAGATTCTTTATCTCTATTTCTATCTCTCATGTAATCAATAGAGCTAGCAGCCCTTGACTACATACAACTATATAGACTGAAGTTCATGAACACTATTCATAACTCAGCTTGAATACTATTATACATTTGACCTCTATATTTTATCTTTCTACTGTGAATACTTCTAGTAGTTAACAGTACATATCACGCCAAGCTGCAAACACCCGAATAATCGCCTGCGAGTACTTATTCTTACAGTATTCAATTTCACCTGAATCATGCTACTCTTGAAGATCTTGTTCAACTGTCTTATTAAATCAGATATAAGAGTATTCTTCACATCTTCTAAGGTCTTGACTGCTGTATTAATTTAATGATGTAGTTTTGCAACTGTCTCTGAGAAGATTAATTATAAGAAGATAGTTGATAGTTAATCTGCAGATGACAGAGTAAAGTGATTGTATATATTATTATCATCATTATATATGTTGAGATTCAGAGCATTATCAATGATAAGAGATCTCAATCAATTGAGAATTATATTACAATTAACTGAATACATTTCACAGTCAGTAAAGTCAGCTCTCACAGTACCAGGTTTAAATACTTATAGTTGAATGCTCTTCAGATTAGTAAGAAATTATCTATTATCATACTACTCATATCTGTAGTAGACAGTCTTATTAACTGTCTTTGTATAATAATGCTTATACTGCTGAAAAGATATATTATCAAGAGATTGTAAAATATGACTTATATAAGATAAGAATCTGAACAGAATAATCTTATAAAGATCACAGTATTGAATGAATTCTTCTGTGAGATAAGAATTATAATTATTCATTAATAGCAGTTGATGACTGCTTATTTGACACTTTTTTATCATCTTATTGAACTGCTTGATTTATTCAAATTTAATCTCATCATTTATAAAGCCAGACTCAGATGTAGTAATAATATAGTTATTAAATAAGTTAAAGTATGTATATCAATTCTCTAGATAAATCTTTAATTTTATTATAATTAATAAATTCAATACTGTATTATCTGCACTAATATACTTCATCACTGTTATTAATCTGCAGAAGTATAATAACTGTATAATAAAATTCATATCTTTAAAGACAGTTATAATTCACTGTTCACATTCTTCTTCTTCTTGAAATTCAATCTTATCAAAGTTGTAGATATCACAGTAAAAAAATTGATATTAATTGAAGACAGCTTTATATCAATTAAATTAGTTGATAATAAAGCTTATATTTTTACAAGACACTCATTTTAAATTCATGAGTTTTTACTTGACTCATTTGTAATCTGACAGATGTTTGATGAATTGATATATTCACATCTTACTTACTGTGAAAGATGCAGTCTCTGAATCTGTATAATACTGTCTCAATATATAATTCACAGCAGCTTTGATATACTTGATAATGAGTGAGTAAAAATTAATATTCAATTAATGAATTCATATCTTAATTACCTCTTTCTGACTGTCATTCAATGCTTGATTCAGTGGAACTCTCATAGTCCTTGATTTCTTCTCATTGATTCTCTCATACAAGATGATATATGAGACTTTGAATTCTCATGACAGAGATATGATTTTTAATTTTGAATTGCTTTTATACACATCAACAGCTCTTTGCAACTGCTCCTCAGTGTAATTAGAAGATTTAGACATGGTTATAATTAATGATGATTATTTGAAGATAAAGAATGAAGATATTGAAAATATTTTCTTTACAGTGTGGTTTTCCATACACTGTGGCGCACTCACTACAGAGAGTGAGTAAGCATGGCACAGTTAGCTAGCAACCTTTTCAATCAAGCAAGCTTTACACCTTCCACACATTCTTGATGAAAAATTATGTTGCGGTGAGGTGCACCAACTACAGGAGCAGTGGGGCTAGCGAAGGCACGTGTAGACCGAATGGTCTGACATCTTTTCACTCCAATTTTTCTTCTTTTTCTCTTCACTAGATCCTTCAACTGTGGAAGGGCGAAGAAAAATATCTTTCCGCATTAGACATCATACCATAAGCGCCTCTGTTGAGATCGTCTTATTCAGCCATGGACTAAGTTCAGGATGGCGAGAAGGAGAGATCTCGTATTTTACAGTCCATCGCACTGGGTGACGACGCGTCTACTGATGCCCTGGTCGACGCGCGCCATGATCACTTTTCGCTTTTGTGCTTCCCATGTTTCTGACCGGGTTCCGTCTTGGATACAAGGAAGAAGTAACCGCATTGGGCATCCACGAAATTAACGATTTGAGTGAGAGAGGGTGCGCCGTGGATAAGCGGAGGTGGCTTTGATTGAGACTCGCAACGAATATAGTTATTTATACGCAGTACCTTTAGCGTAGATGATATTTCCAGGGGATAGCGCCATGCCCGTCATCTCCTACGGAGATCTCGTGGGGTTGACAGGTAACGTGGCAATAATGCTCCAGGGGTCAGGGATCCCAACAGGATATTCACGGCCATCTTTGACGAATCCAGAATTGGGCTCAAGTATTGCATCGGGTGTTCTTTTGAGGTTTCATGCCATGACATTTGGGTAGCTTGTCTGGGGAGTGATACGAGAACTGGTGGATATCAGCCGAACGTTGAATGCGGGGCGGGAGAGCTACTTTCCAGAAAAATATTTGAAGAAAAGGGAGTACGAGAAAACCACAAAGACAGACATACACACAGTAGTTCAAAGCAAATTTCGCCTCGATCTCAAAGATTGAGCTCTGAGAGAAGTATCGATGTTGGGACCTGCAATGGAGGGGTCCTTCTGCCGCCTTGCCTCGGATCTTATCAACAGACGGCAAGGTTGCGTAAAATCGCTCTCACAGTTTTAATTTCCGGCGTCGATTTCGTGCAGCATCGCAGACAAGGGGGCTGAATCGTTTATCTTCCGGTTGGAGCATGATAATCCTTCAGCATGTGAGGCTTGAGTGGCGTCGAGGTGGATGATTGTTGATTTTTGATTTTTGATCTTGGGGCGCTTCAATTATTCTCTTCTGCTTCCCCGCACATAACTAGAAGATGATGGCCTTCTCCATATTTTTACAAGGATGTGTGGAAGTGTGATTCCGCAAAAATCCTTGACAGTTCACAGCTCACCATTCTTGGACATCAAACCACTCGTCTATAATAATCCCCATTCCGCAGCCGAATGGAACGGTCCTTGGCTGCTTCGAGCTTCGAGCTAAGAAACTGTGCCAGACCAAAGATTCTGGGGCAGGACTCAGGAGTGGAACTCTGGGGAAATTGGTTCAAAATTAATGCCAATCATTTGGCCATTGCCACCAAGCGAAAAGGATCTACAAAAGTAATGAAAAAAATTTCTGCGAGAGGGTTAAGCGGAGTTTCGCACTAGTTGAACCAAGACAAACTGCTGCGGCGTATCCGAGCCATATCTGAATCCTGCTGGCGAAGTTGCGCCTATGCATCCGGACCGCCCGACTTCCAAAAAAAATATGATTTTGGCCGAATTGCTCTTCCGTCTTTTCCTGGACGTTGTCTGGGGTAGTTCGGATTCCATCAGCTCCCCTTCCAAGTTAAGGCTGCGCCAAGCCATCCGTCGCTCCGTGCCGGTTTGGAAGAAGCTTCTATGTAACCCAAGCCTTTCAGCGTTGGCTGGGCGGAAAACGGGCAGCGGCACTAGCTTCATTAAGAGTAAGCCCCGAGATCATCAAGTCTGCGATTCACATGTAAATTATTGCGCTTTTCGTTCGCTGGACTCCCCCCTCCAGCCCTTTCTTCCTTCCCATTTGGAGCAGTGCGAACATTGCAAGATAAGCGAAATGGCTGATTAAATCTATTCGCTCGGTTGTATAGTTACGCAGCGTAAGGTAAACTTATGAGAAGTCGTCGACTGGCGATGGCTCCTGCCACGCGATTGTTGTGGCGAGAGACAGAAGAAATCTGACAGACAGCGGACATTCGGACACAGCCAATCCAATGTCTTTCAAGTTTCAACGACCCATACCACAAGCATGAGCTGAAAGCCGCAAGGGGTCAGAAGGAATTCGGCCCATGGCACCATGCAGGGGTTAGATCCATCCCCAATATGACAAGCACGTTGCGACATTTTTTTTCAGCGCCAGTATAGTATGCATTTTAACATTGTTGGGTGGCATTTATAACATTTTGAAAAATCTCAGCTTTTCTCTCCCCCCTGACAATCCGTGGCGATATACCAGTCATATCAGGGGGACGGCCGCGAGTGGCATGTGCTTACCACAGTTTGTTTATTCGCCTGGAAGCTGGTGACCGACCTGTACTACATGTATGCACCGAGAAAGCGAGATGTTTTGTCTTGCACGCCCCCGCCAGGAGGACTGTCTGGGGCTATTTTCTATCCCTTGGTAAAACGGTTGTTGCGGGTTTTTCCTAGAAGTCGGGAGCCGTGTCCCTAGCCCCGTTAATTGTTGATTCCATCGCCACATCACATCCCATAGGAGCCCGCGCGATAGGATATGCCCGTGACCCAAATTAATATCAAGTCGCCAGGTGGGAGCGGGTCAATCGCATTCCCTTATCTTGGCGTGTCTCCCGCTAGCATTGGCGTCAATAACCGAGCTGAAGAGGTCAAGGCCAAAAAGCAGGATACCCACGGGGCTTATTTCAAGTTTGACATATCAATGGGCCCAGTTCCCACCCCCGATTCCTGCTGTTTCGTCGGTCCCGTTGTCGTTGTTGTTGTCGTCGTCTAGTTGTTAGTTCTTTGTCGTCTTCGTTCTCCTCCCTCCCTTCACATCTGCAGTCGGGGCAACCCAGGCGGAGTCTTGGCATCGGTCAACCTTCCCCCCCTTTCTTCGCCCTGCGTGTTGCATCCCTGACCGTCAATTTTTTATTTTCTTCCTCTCTTCTCTCTTCCCTGTTCTCTACCGTTTTGCGGTGTTGTGCCTAGTTCTCTCGCGACTGAGGTGTTTTGTGTTCCTCTCCTCCATCTCTGATCTCTGATCTCTATACAATATCCCATTTCCGCTGCACTCGAATACTCTTATTATGGGAAAAGACGAGAATGAAAAGGGCTTCAAAGGGGAAGCTCCGGTAGCCCCCTTGCCGACTTACTTTGAAGATGGTGGCAGCCCTGTGCTCGTAGGGACTGCTGAAGGCGGGGATGAGTTGGGTTTCTGGACCCGTATGGGGTGCACTCCTGAGTCGTTCAAGAGGAGAACACTTGCGGACAAGCACAACCAGTTGAACCGAACGCTTAAAAGCCGCCATTTGCACATGATTGCAATCGGTGGCAGTATCGGAGCTGGTTTGTTCGTGGGCTCTGGCGGTTCCCTGAGCACTGGCGGCCCCGCAACTCTACTCATCGACTTTGGAATTGTTGGTGTGGTACGTGATCGATGCTCCTAATGGCGGAAACGTGGCTTACTGCAGCTTTGATCGTTAACAGCAAGCGCTAATATATTAAAACTTATACATGCATGTAGATGATGTTCAACGTCGTTTACGCCCTTGGTGAACTTGCTATCATGTTCCCGATCTCTGGTGGTTTCTATACCTATTCAACACGGTTTATCGATCCCTCCTGGGGCTTCGCCATGGGTTGGAATTACGTTTTCCAATGGGCCATTGTTTTACCGCTTGAACTCACTGTAGCAGCCATGACAATCGGATATTGGGGTGTAGACATTAACATCGCAGTTTGGATCACGATTTTCATGGTTGCAATCATTATTATCAACGTCTTCGGCGTCCTCGGCTACGGAGAGGAAGAATTCTGGAGCAGTTGCCTGAAACTCGCAGCTATTGTCATCTTTATGATCATCGCGCTCATTTGTGTCCTTGGTGGTGGGCCCGAAAACGGCCTTTATTCCCAGTATTGGGGTGCCAGACTTTGGTACAACCCCGGCGCATTCCGAAATGGCTTTAAAGGCTTCTGTTCCGTCTTTGTCACCGCAGCGTTTGCCTTCTCAGGAACAGAACTGGTTGGCCTCGCTGCCGCCGAATCCAAAACACCTGTCCAGTCTCTACCTTCCGCGGTGAAGCAAGTGTTTTGGCGTATTACCTTGTTCTATATCCTTGCTCTGTTTTTCGTTGGCCTCCTCATCCCCTATGATGAAGAGCGATTGATCGGAAGTGGCTACATCGATGTCAAAGCATCCCCTTTCGTTATTGTTGCCAAAAACGCCGGTCTCATAGGATTTGACCATTTCATGAACGTCGTTATCTTGATTTCTGTTCTCTCCATTGGAAATTCAAGTGTCTACGGTGGCTCCCGAACCCTAACAGCTCTGGCTGAGCAAGGCTATGCACCCAAGATATTTGCCTATGTCGATCGTGCTGGGAGACCCTTGGTGTCAACGATTACAATTATCGCTTTTGGCGGGTTTGCTTATATCAACTTGTCTGCCTCTGGAGAGGAAATTTTTGCTTGGCTACTTGCGCTGTCTGGTCTTGCCGCCCTCTTCACTTGGGGAAGCGTGAGTTCATGTTCTAATCCCTAGCTATATATGTAATTTTTGGCTAACTGAAGTTAGATTTGCTTCGCCCATATTCGCTTCCGACAGGCATGGGCTTACCAAGGCCACACCGTCGCTGAGCTTCCATTCACAGCCGCTTTCGGTGTTTGGGGATCGTGGCTGGGTCTGTTCCTTATCGCTATCGTTCTTGCTGCACAGGTTTGTCGAGTTCCTTTTTTCCCCATACACCATATCGAATCTCCATCTACCGTTGACACGCAGCAGAAATATTCACTAACGTACGGTACTTAATTGTAGTTCTACGTCGCGGTGGCTGAAATGAACGCTCAGGCCTTCTTCAAGTCTTACCTTGCTGCCCCCGTTGTCATGTTCTTCTGGATCTGTGGTTACGTGTGGAAACGCGAGGGCTGGCTCAGGCTTAGCCAAATCGATGTTGATTCCGGCCGCCGAGAGATCGACTGGGAAGAGCACAACCGCAAGCTGGAGAAGAAGCGCAACGCCCCTCTTTGGAGACGTATCGGTTACTTTTTGTTCTAAAATATTTCAGCTATCGATATGTTTTGAGTGGTTGCTTCTCCAGCAGATGATGAAAATCTATAAGCGCAAGTGTGTGTATGTGTGTGTTCAATTCAAGCTCAACTTTTAGTTTAATAAGTGGTCGATTTCTCTGTGACGAAATTAAGACCCCTTCTCGCGCGGCCACTCGTCTATTTAGATAGGTATTCAATTCAAAAATGGTGACATATATTTAATTTTAGCATTCTTTGCAGAACCTCATACTCTATACACAACATCGAGTCCCTGATTCGAGGTTTGATTTCGTCCTAGTTATGCATTAGGTCAAATGCCACGCGTCGCGGCCATGAAGCGGGGAGATTGGTCTTAATTAACCCCGTTTTGATTTTCCCAGCCTAGAACCATTCAACCCGGCTAAATATGCAAACTCACCTCACCTGCTCAGGCCTGTATAGCGCTGGCGCCTACATGGCTCTTTGCTCTCTTCCCCTCATCCTCCATGTTAGATGGGTACAGTAGCTCGTAGGTGTGTACAATCGATATCGACTCGGCACCATCATTCCATCACTCATCCCTATACTCCGTAGATGTTAACGGGAGGCGTATTCAGAGTTTTTCTATAGATATCGGATATCACGGCTTTGTTTTCGAGCTTTTGATTTGGAATCCCTGATGTCTATATTCTTTTCCGCCCTCAAACTTCTATTATTGAACATGTTACTACGTTATCAGTTTCAGTGCCAACCCGGCAGCATCGGGTTATAAATCCAGACCAGCCAGCCAAAACTTGTCCCGGATGCTCTGTTTTTCTTCCTACCTGCGGAGTTTGGCCGAGTAACACCGTTTTAGCCCTAAGGCCTATCCCCAGCCACGCTATCAGCCCTGATATTTAAGAGGTGGCGCTTTGTGATAAGCTATTCAGCACACATATTTTAGATGCAGAAAGAACTCCTGCGAAATGCACGTTGGACGAACGAGAAAATCTGCCTGAGCCGGGCATCAACTGCTATGTTGAAATGCAAAAGTGATGGTACGACCGTTACATTTCGGGTGCGATGATCTGTACCTCTAGCCGACACGAATGCCGCATCTCAATGCATCTGTAGATATTTCATACGATCACCGCGCCCGGTATCGAGGTAGGTGTTATCAACAGTTCTCTTCTTCTCCTCGTCCGGCCACATACCCATACCATGGCCGGTACATGCAGAGCAATGGCAGTATCGATATCGATGCTCTGCATCGGATATGTTATCTCATCGGTGGATGAAGAGAGAGCAAGGCTCGGGTACATGCAAAAGCACGTTGGACAAACATGTGAAGTTCGAGCACAGAGGTCTTCTGACCGCGGCTTTTAAGCAGGTTGATTGCAACGTTACTGGCATCTATCTTCCCTATTAGTTACCAGACTTGGGCTTTCTTATTTTAACTGCTCAGCTGCGGCTGGCGAAAACGCGCTTTGCACCAGCGTGTAGATGTCATGTTGTACAGTACATGCATGCAATCTGCGGCAAAGGAACGAGAGATCTGAAGACTCGAGAAGTCTGGCAGCGTCATCACGATCAAGCGGCATTCTCTAGCGCTTGCAACAACCAGTACCCGAAGCTAATCCGACATCTTCGAAGTTCTTCTAGCCTCAATTGAGGGAAGAAAACATGAATGCCGCCAAAGGCTTCCGTTCAAAACGAGCCTGCTCACAAAACCTTGATTCTAGGGATTGTGCGCGTCGGAAGCACTGTACCGAACATTCGTCGCCCGGTTTTCCAGTTAAAAGATGAACCTACAGAAAAGTCACGAAAACTTTTGCAGCTACGAAGATGTCGACAAGGTTACTTGTTATGTTCCTGTGGCCCTGAGCGTCTGGGAATGGGCAATTCAAAAGTACCTGATATACCCAGAGGAACCCTTCGATGGCAGCTTGAAGGATACATCCAACCATTCCCATATTTTCTTACAGAGTCGATTCTACGCTGTATTAAGACGCTACTATTATTCTCCTTGATATGGACGGCATTTTTCAATGCCATGAGAGTGGGTGTCAGTACAGGTTAACGACGACGATGTTGATCAAGGTGTATCGTTTGGCCGTTACTACTGGGTTTCTCGTTGCAGCATGGTCCCTTTTCATACTCTACGTTGTCGGCGGTGTGATATATCGATTATACATTTCTCCACTGGCAAAGTTCCCAGGGCCGAAGCTAGCAGCCGCGACTTTATGGTATGAGTATTATTACGATGCTGTTTGCAAAGGCCAATACACCTTCAAAATAAAGGAACTGCATCAACAATATGGTCAGTATTTCGTCGTTTGCTATATCATTTAGAGGCCGAAAAGGAAGCCCTAACTCGTAGATTCCCACAGGGTCAATCATCCGGATCAGCCCATACGAATTGCATATCGATGATCCTGATTATTACCACGTATTATACTCGTATAGCTCTCCTCGAGATAAGTACCAGTACTATCTAGAACCATTCGGATTTCCGTTATCCGCATTTGGAACGGAGAGTCACCACCAACATCGTCACCGTAGAGGTGCATTGAACCCATTCTTCTGCAAAAGAAGGGTGGCCCAACACGAAGGCCTGGTTCATCACCTTGTCAACAAGCTTTGTGGACACCTGGAACAATTCCGGATCACAGGCAAGACGGTACCACTGTCGCTTGGGTACACATGTTTGGCGACTGACCTCATTGTTTCATACGTGCTGGATGAACGCCAGCAATGGCTTGACGCACCTGGGTGGCTTCCACACTGGAGGCGGGCGTTGGTGTCCTTATCAGAAATGGTGATGGTATCTAGGCAGGTAATCTGGGTGCTGAAGATCCTAAAATATTTCCCTCGAACCTTGGCAATCTCCATGAAACCTGGCCTAGGCTTGTTCTTTGAGCTGGAAGAAGGATTTCGTCGGAGGATTAAACAGATACAAATGGACAGAGACGGAGAGAACGACAGGCAACCCAAATGCACGACATCGAAAGCATCGAAAGGATACTCGTTGATCGATCAAATCCTCGACTCTAGATTGCCAGTCGAAGAGAAAGCCCCTGAACGAATTCTTCAAGAAGTCCGATCAACAACAGCAGCGGGAATTGAAACAACCTCAAACGCGTTAACGGTCATAACTTACTACCTTCTAGACAATCCAGACAAAATCCAGCGACTTCGAGATGAGCTTTCTACCTTCGAAGGCGACTGGAGCTCTAAGCAGCCAGCCCAGAAACTGGAACAGCTTCCATACCTGGTTCGTCTCCCTGGGTAATATCTACAGAGATCAGAATGATAAAATATCAGCTAACTTATTGCCATTAGACCTCGGTCATTCTCGAGGGGCTGAGGTAATGATTGACACGTGCAGCACAATGACACAAAGGCCGTGCTAAGATAGTTCATAGGCTATCGTACGGAGTGAGCACAAGGTTGCAACGGAAATCGCCTGACCAAGCAATTCACTACAGGGATTACTGTATTCCTCCAGGGGTAAGTACGAGAGCCATCGGATTATAATTTTATCATTCCAACATTGATAGAACGGACCTCTACTCATTAATCTATCTCTCAATGGACAGACTCCCGTTGGAATGACATCGGTCCTTATGCACCACAACGAAACCATCTTCCCGGACTCACACAAGTTTGTACCAGAGCGCTGGCTGGATCTGGACGAACGAAAGCGACTTGAGAGGTATCTGGTTTCCTTTGGGAAAGGGTCTCGGCGATGTGTTGGGCAACGGTTAGTTTATTAAATATCTCCTAGAATCGGATTTTTTTCTGCTTGAGGCTCATTTTAACCAGAAAACTCAACCAATCTGACATTTGCTCATTATATTTATAACTATTCTATTTATATGTATAGACTAGCGCAGACGATCCTTCTTATTACCACTGCTACCATTTTCAGAAAGTTCGAGCTTGAGCTTCGAGATACGTCTAGCGACGATATTGAGATTGGCCATGACCTGTTCGTTCCAAGGCCGAAGAACACGAAATCTGCTGGTTTACGGGTATGTGTTTTGAAGAAGTACCTTGATCATAGATTCCGTGGCTCTCTCACGGCGAATCAGTAATAATGTGAAGATGTTCGAAGGGGTAAAGGGGGTTGGTTCAGTGTCATGTGATAGCAGAGCAGCGAGAGTGCGAGTTGAATCCTTTACTGGTTCTGTTTCTTAGTATTATTTATTGTGTATTCGAGTTAAAGAGGGAGAGAAACTCTTATCTCACTTTTCAAACATGATAACTAATTCATCATCCATTTTCATGCCTTAATAATCCCTTCCAATCGGCTAAATCCTCGAAGATATATAATGATTCCTGCAGGGTTAACTATACCATACAGCTGATAAAAGTAACCTCCAGCTACATTCAACATATCTAACCCAGCCTGTCTATATTTTAATATGTAGTTGTAGCCAAAAATAGCCAGCGGCAATTTGGTCTGGATTTAGTGTCAGTTCTTGGCATATAAAAAAAAACAACGCGTGCACACATCATTTGAACATATTATTTATCTCTCTATGTATCTGCTGCTGGACGAACTTACACTGATTTTCTAATTTAATAATATATTTTAATATATACTTTGATGACTGCTATTCTTAATTTATGAGTCTATATGCAGTGTCTCAAACCCTTGAGTGCAGATCTCTAATCGCTTGATCAAACAACAGTAATAGCTACTACTAGTTATTATCAGCACCTGAATTCTATATATAGTTTAAGTCTCTCGGAGGATGATGCTCAGCTCATTACTCCGTACATTGTGTGACATGACACATCTCACTCTGAATCTTAATATTCTCAGCTCTATTTCTCATACAGCATACCTCAAAATAACCCGAATAAAAAGGTAGATAATACATGATATCATCAGATTTATATATAAATAGAAACTGCGGTCAAAGATGATGAATTGTTTTCAGATGCCAAGAGCTGATAGAACATTCCAACGTTGTGCAGTGCATCTTCTTCAAAAAGTTAGTGCCGTCAAATTGAGTAGTCCAGCTTATAAATCTGCCTTCA